CTGTTCATTGTTCAAGACATTTTAATACTACAAATACCATTTTGCTTTTGCAGATCACTAGGGGACATATATATGTCATTAGAATGACAGCTCAGTAGAATGATAGAAGATGAGATTATATACATAATCACAAATTGATTTGCATGTGCCTTGTTAGGGTCATCAGTACCAGTATTCTTAGTCAGTTTTTCTTTCTCATTATTCAGGCAGTATTCAAGAAAGCATCAGAGAAAGTAAATCCGATGGATCATTTTGAGAAATGTTTCTGCATATTTAGACTCCCAATGTGTGAATCTTGGATGTCATCTGATATGCCGAATACTGGAAAAGGTATTTTTTATGAGTAATAATGTTAGTGATATTTTAAATGCTATGCATGTCATGTCATTGTGTGCCATGTGGTGCACCAACAAGTTTGTTATATTTTGAATTACATCTAGATTTATGTAGAAAAAATGTCATATGTCATAATTGATTTTTTTTTTCTTTTCCAGACTTTGAAAGCCTCCTTAATGATGGTGAAAGCAAAAGAGATTGGAAGGCAGTCAGAGTCGACTTTGTGTTTGTTCCATCTAGCCAATGGGGTTATGCACTGCTGGGATGGACTGGCAGCAAACTATATATGCGTTTATTGCGTCATTATTCCAATCATTATTTAAATATGTTGCTTAACAGCCATGGCCTTTGGAACAGGGCAGATAATGTACTTCTTCCTGCCAAAAATGAAGAAGAGGTCTTTCAAAACCTTGGTTTGAGTTATAAGGAACCATGTGATAGAAATTTTTAATTTTTTCAGTTTTGGAGTAATTGTATTGAATTTAGTATTAAATTAATAAAAAAAGACATGTACTAAATATGTAATTATTTTACCATACATATATATATATATATATATATATATATATATATATATATATATATATATATATATATATATATATATATATGTATATGTATATGTATATGTATATATTTATTTATATTGATATGTACATGTATGTGTATTTTTATATTTATATGTATATGAATGTGTATATTTATATTTATATCTATATATCCATATATAATAGAGGTTTTTTACTAGACAGTTTACTGTTGGTCTTTGACATTCTAAAACCCCTTATGATTTCAAATATATTATACTTCAGTTCGATTAATAAGTGTGTGCAAGTGATGTCTGCAATTTGATTATTTTGAGAACCAACTACTGTATGAAGGTGAAAGCATGTGCATGTGATATTTGAACAGATTAGATTTTCAAACATAAAAACCACTTCCCCGATACCTATACTTCATTAGCATTCTCACTCTAATTGTCATACCCGGCAACCTAAATGCTCCACTCCACCCTCTCCTACTACATCCATTCCTACACCTTTTTTCTCTTCTGATCCTCAGATATCTATCTCCTCTTCTCCTCCTCATAAGAGAACCTTTGTTTCTCAGTCCTCTTCACCCAACTCCCCTCCAGAAACCCTTGAGGACATCCAAAACTTCCTCACCCACCCTCCAATCCCTCTGTTTCTACTCCCTCTACATTTAAAGTATTTTCAGATATCCATCCTCCTCCTCCTCAAAATCCCTCCACCCCCCTTCCTCCTACACCCTTTTTCCCTTTTCAATACCATATATACTAAAACACTCTCAAATCTTTGACATCAAACACATTTTATCCTACTCTTTAACTCCAACACAATACTTTACCATAGTGCTACATTTATTTGTTTCACACATTAAACATATGTATATATATGATATATATATACACATATATGCACATATAGAGTGTGTGTATATGTATATGTATATATATGATATATATATATCCACATATATGCATATATATATATATATATATATATATATATATATATATATATATATATATATATATACATATATGTATGTATATATATATATTTATATTTATATATATATATATATTTATATATTTATATATGTATATATATATATATATTATATATATATATATATAATACATATATATATATATATATATATATATATATATATATATATATATATATATATGTATATATATGTATATTATATATATGTATATATATATAATAGATATACATATGCATATGCATATGCATATATATATGCATATACATATACATATACATATACATATACATATACATATACATATACATATACATATACATATACATATACATATATATAATATATATATATATATATATATATATATATATATATATATATATATATATATATATAAAGTGTGTGTGTATATGTATATGTATATATATGATATATATATACACACACATGCATATGCATATATATATATATATATATATATATATATATATATATATATATATATATATATATATATATATATGTATGTATGTGTATATATATATTACATACATATATCTACACACACACACACACACACATACCCCCCCCACACACACACAAACATACACACATATTCATATACATACATATATAGATGTTCGTGGTAGACGGGATGTCGATATTTACGGATGCGGATTCAGATAGTTTTGGCAGATAAGAGTTCTAGAAACGCATGACAAAAAGTTTGATAATGAGACATCAGAGAACCAAGAACATATATATCAAATCATGTCAAATATTTTCTCTTCTCTTTTGCAAAAATCTCAGATTATTTGCTGTTTTTAACCAACTCCATGTTAATGAGTTTGTCTGTCTGTCTCCAGTTCTTGTCTCTTTGGTCTGCACATTTCTAGCCAGTTTGGGCAATATTTCAACATCCCTCGTCATTTCCTACTATATGGCACTGTCATTGACACCATTTCAATGAAAACGAGAGAGAGAGAGAGAGAGAGAGAGAGAGAGAGAGAGAGAGAGAGAGAGAGAGAGAGAGAGAGAGAGAGAGAGAGAGAGAGAGAGAGAGAGAGAGAGAGAGAGAGAGAGAGAGAGAGAGAGAGAGAGAGTAGAGAGAGAGAGAGAGATGAAAAAAAATAAAAGGACTATTAGTCAAACATTAGTAATGCATGCCTGAAGGATTCATTATATGCTTTTATTATACACATATCATCTAGTTGGTAAAAAAACACTTTTCTATCCCAAATCATATCGAAGACAAGACCGTTGTCTATGATAAAACTAATATAATTAATAAGTGCTGTCTCTGGACAGTGCTAATTGATCGATAGGATGCAGTTAGTAAGTAAGGCGCCTTTACACATTTTGCAGTGGTGATATGTAGCTGGCTTTGCCTCCAAAACTGCATCCTGTACATAATGAATAGTGTATTGATATGCTATACGTAGCCTGGTTAGCTTAACCTGCTGTCCCCGAGACAGTCCATCATAGACTTTCTATGGTTTGTTTGCACCACGTGTCCCGACACTATTTTCATAATGCCAAATGGCACCCATGTCCTCTTTTCTTCAGATTTTCGGTGGTCCATACCTGGCCCTCATGATCTCGAAGACAGCTGATAACACGTTTTTTCATTTGATTGACAGAACGGTATTACATAATATGGTCCTTCATGGGAAAGTGCTTGTTTTGCTAAATTATCTACCTTGTCACAGGTTGATATTCCTATATGAGAAGGTATCCAGTATAGTGACACTTGTATACCCTGATCTGAGAGGCTAGCAATTTGGTGAAGGGTATTGATAATTACTATGTTTTCTGAACTAAATGTTTTAAGTCTTTAAAGTGCACCCAGGCTGTAACAGAAGACAGCTAGGTGTCGCTGATGTTCACTACCCTTTTTAATGGCATCAGTTGTGCTTGTCTAGTTGGAAATTCGCACTTTCTAGAAGAGCAATGTCAGGGATTAGTACACCAATCCCTGCTGCTCCATGAGGATCAGTAGAAGCATCACAGTAGATTGCAAGTGGGGGGGGGTACCATGAGGGGGATGGAGAATTTCATCTATATACTTCAAGTAATGGCCTTTTAACTGTTATTAAAGTCACAGATTTGGGCCCTGTTAATTTATCAATATGAACATTAACATATGATCTATGCCATGGTGAAGTAAGTGTTGCTTCTGGGATGTTGATAAAATCATTGTTCCACACACTGAAGCGGAGAATAGTCTGAGCAGTTTTGGCCTTCCATTCTAAGTTAGACTTTATGAGATTGGAGTATCGAGGCCGCCGGACATGCCTAGCTCTACTATTAATCTCATTAAACAATGCAAGGGAAAGTCTGATGCCGAGTATGGTGTTGACTTGAGTAATACGACTTTGAACTGACGGGAGATCAAGGTCTTTCCTCAAGACAAGAACTTTAACAATCATTGGGCAATCTAAAATGACTCATGACCTTGTTCTGTAAAACTTCAAGGGGTTTGAGAGCATTTTGAGGCAACATACTGAGAACCGGGCTCGCATAGTCTACCATGGACCTAACAAGGGAAATGTACATCAACCTTAGGATTCTTAGGGAAGCACCAACGTATCTGTTACATATGTATTGCAAATGTCTTAAGCGCTCCAGGCAACATTCCCTGATGTTTTGAACAATTTCCCGAGTGAAACGGGAATTGCGGGACTTGAGGTGGGGAGCAATCACCTTAAGACCAAGATACTTGTAGGCGTCAGTTTTTGTAATAACTTGTCCATCTGATAGTTTATGAGATCCGGAAATATACTTAGTCTTGATAGGATTGATTATGAGTCCAAGGGGATTGTACCTTTTGCTGAATCAAAGACCTGAATGAGAATGTCATCAGCATAGCATGTGATGCTGCATAGGTGTCCTAACTCACTGTTAATCTTGCAATGAAAGTGAATTAGGATGTTAAATAATGAAGGGGACAAAACTCCTTGTGGAGTTCCTAACTCGAGTTCACCATAATTACTGTAGGTGCCTTGGTACCACACTTTTGCTCTTCTAAAAGATAGACAATACTTTAGCCATAGCAGAAGAGAGAGAAGAGGAAGAAAAAGAAGGAAGCAGAGAGAAAAAGAATAAAGGTCATTATGAAAACTACGAGCGAGAAGTTCAAGTAGTTTTATTCCTTGGAGATTTCATAGAGAAGAGCCTTGAGGCCTTCCCACACCTCCTCGCTGCAGGGAACAATGTGGCTCGGATCGAGGTTAAACCCAGACATTCCTTCGTCTCTTAATTCAAGCGTGTACGTGTACTTGACCCCAAGGACGCCCTTAGCCCAGTCGTCCGTGGCCCCTGAGGCCTTGTATAGGTCTCCCGCGGAGTTGACCACCTTGTAGACCGTGTTGTGGACGCTTTTTGCAGCGTCGGCGAAGACCTTGCCCCTCGCAATCAGGTCACTGGTGTCCGGCGCAGTTTTGTGCTTGGTGTAGCCCCACGGGTAGAGCAGCTGCTGGCCGTAGCTGTGCAGGGACATCACCACCTTCAGCTGGTCCTTCACCTTTGTCATGGCGTCTCGCAGGGCTTTTGTCTCTGGCTCCGAGAAGGGTTCTGAGCCCCGGTACACCTCGCTGCATTCGTTTTCCGAAGCGCCCACGCCGTAGTGGAAATCCCAGTTGCGGTTGAGGTCGACGCCCCCGCAGCCTGGTTGAGACGTAATGCGTCGGTTCTTCCGCCACAGCCGGTCGGAAGTAAAGCTGTAGTTGTAGCCGTCGGGATTGGCCATCGGGACCACGTACACGTCGAAGTTACCAATGCTGCCGTTATCCTGCACCAGCTCCTTCAGGATGTGCAGAGCCACTGCGGGGGAAATCCACTCTCGGGCGTGTATGCCTGTCGAGAAGGAAGGTTTAGGGATAATAAAAAAAAAAAAAAAAAAAAAAAAAAAACCTGGGCGGCGGACTAAGCGCTCCTCTCCATGCAGGACAGTGTCTCGCTCTTCGCTCCTCTCCAAAAAAAAATCGAAGGTGACACAAATGGATTCGTTATATGTCGCTATTCTGAGGAAGTAGCCGCCCTGTCGCAAAATATTACCCGATTATTCTAAACACTCAGCATGCCCAAGACGACGGTCTGAGGTCTGACCTGCCTCGATCCAGACGGCGCCGGCTTCCTCGGAGTCACTGGGGTCGTTGGGGCGGACGTGCACCATCCAGAGGTCTCGGTTCTCGAAGGATTTCCCGATGGACGTGAGGCTGGCGCGGGGATTGTCCTCGCTCAGTCGCTTGAGGAAACATTCCATCTGTGCGAGAAATGGAAGAAGAGAAGAATCAGGAGAGGAGAAAATAATTATTGGTTAGTAAAAATAGCTGGAATATCAGGGCGATGTTCTCGAAAAAGGTAACAAACGAATAGTGACAACGTTAATTTGAAGGAGTAATCTCTATCGGAAACTTACTCATTACGTTTTTTATAGTTATCATTATTATCTTACATTATATATATATATATATATATATATATATATATATATATATATATATATATATATATATACATATATATACACACATACAGATACACCGATAAATACATACATACACAGACACACACAGAAACACACGCAAACACCACTATGTATGTATACACTGTATATACAGTGAGCATTGTGCACACACCTCTTCGAAGGTCATGTAGTCGTCATGGCGGGGCTGCGAGCAGTTGTACGCATCGCTTTTCATGGTTGCCGACCGTTTGGACAGACGTTCATGGTCCTGTTGGGAAATTCTTTTCCTAAACACTTCTTCGATATAGTATATTATTATTTGTCAAAGCGCTTGCAATATCACTCTTCTTACCATGGCGGATGCATTTAGGGTTTACCTCTAAGAAAGTGGCCAGGTCCTCAACTAGGATCTCGCGAGACACGCCCTTCTCCTGCAGGAGCCTCTGAGCTTCCTCAAGGCAATGGAAGGGAACGCGGACCTTCTTGGAAGTCCCAAAATGTCCCAGAACATCCAGGAGTCCTTTCTGCATGACCTCCAGGGGCACATCGCCTACATCGTTTGATAGCTGCCATATCTGTGAAAAATGGGATTCAAATAGAAATACAATCTATTGGGTTGCATATTTGACACACACAAACGTACTCTCACACACACACACAGACACACACACACACACACACATACACACACACACGCGGACAGGTAACAACACAAAGTAATTAAATATTAACTGCCTTAGAAAAACTACCTTGTTATATGCACATTCCCTGTAAACTGAAGGAAATCGTGCAATTAGGTGTTAGTCGTACACGTGCGATGTGTGAAAACTTCATAACGAGCAGAACATTAAGAAACACCTGTAGTAAATTAATGGGAACATCTTTTGGTTTCGCCATATATCATCTCTATCTCTTGCTTGTTTCTTTCTCTCTCTCCCTCTCTCTATCCCATCTATGGTTCATATCTCTTTCCCTCCCTCTCTCCCTTCTTTCCCTTTTTACTCGTTACTCCCACTTACTTTGTTCCTCACTTTCCCTCACACCCATGCCTTCCCCTCCCACCCTCCCTCCCTTCCTCCTTTTCCCTACCGTTCCTCCTTCTATCCCTCCTATCTTCCTTCCCTACTCTCTGCCTTTCCTTCTGTCATTTCTCTCTCCCTCTCTCTACCCTTCCCTCTACGTTCTTTCCCATGTTCCTTCCTACCCTCTATCCTTCCGTTGTGTCAATTCTCTCTCCCTTCCTATATCCTTCCCTCCATGTTTCCTCCTATCCTCCCTCCCCATCTCTATCCATCCCTCCATGTTCCCTCCCACCTTCCTTCCCTCCACGTTCCCTCCCACCTTCCTTCCCTTCACATTCCCTCCCACCTTCCTTCCCTTCACGTTCCCTCCCATCCTCCTTCCCTCCAGCTCAACCTCACCTGATGCCCGCGCAGAATTTCATGCCGTGACGATTCTTTGCCGGACACTGTAGCCACTATAACTGTCACGGTAGCCACTATAACGAAGGGCACTGTAGACATCATCTCTCCAGCTCCTTCGTTGATGACTGTGAAGGAAGTTAGGCCTGGTGAGTTGGTGTACTATTACTATTACTATCATTAGTAGGATGTTGGTGATGATGATATAATGAAATATATAGTGTCCATGTAGATGATGATAATGATTGTCATTTTCATTTTCATCATTGCTAATGTTGTCAGTGCCATCATGATCACTATGATGATAATGCTAGTTATAATGATGATGAAAATATTGAGAGTGACAATAATAATAATTATGATAATAATAATGGTGATAGTGTTAATAATGGTAATGACTGTGATAATAATAATGATGATGGTGACGATAATGATAGTGATACTTATAATGATAATAGTAACAATAATAATAATTATTATTATTTATTATCATTATATTATTATCATTGTTTCTGTATAACTTTGTCTATTAAATTATATAAACATACATATATACATACATACATACATTTTTAACCAAAAACTATCTATTCTATAAACAAATAATCATAAATAATTGGCATATCACAATGTAAATCTTACCAATAAGTATTTTTAAAAATACGCCGTGGATATTGTTCCGGCACCGGATTTTATGTTTGGCTATTCGTCCGGCATACATGCGCACTAACTATTTGCGCGCACACACTCGCGCTTGCGCTTTAGCCTTGCATACAGACTTTAGCGCTATATTTATGTTGTTCATTGTTCATGGCTAACGGTCGATCATCGATTATGGATTCCTTCAAAGTTGGAACTGAATTTGCCAGTTTTGCTGATGTGACGGACAGCTTGGCCAAATTTCAAGAGAGCACTTTCGCACAGGTTTATGTCAAAGATTCAAGGACTGTTGCTGCAGCTTTGAAGCGTACACCGGATAAGAAAGTAAAGCCAGAGTTGAAGTGCTCCTACTTAGTGTTTGCCTGCATCGAGAAATACGGCAATCGGGAGGGGGTCCGGGGTCAAAGCCCCCGATGGGGAAATACGGCGATCGGGAGGGGGGTCCGAGGCGTAGCCCCCGGGTTAGGAGGGATTTTTGGTTCATACGGCGAACCTACTGGTAGTTCGTGCGTTTAAGATGCGGTTCACTCGCACGTTCGTTCGCGCAACACCGTGTCGAATCATCCGTGGCCGAATCTTCTCTCGGATTCCTACATTTTTCACTTTCTTTATCATCTGAATTACTATCCTTGGCTCGGATTTTCAATTTCCCACATTCTTTTGCTTTTTAAAATGCATGGCATGAACGAAATTCCCCCCCCCCACACACAACCCACGATTCCCCACGGGATCCCCCAACATTGTTGGTGGGAGTCGGGGATTTCGTCTCTGACGGGTGCGGTCCTATAGTTCATAGGCACGATAAAATCACAGAAATGTCAAACTGTAGCAAACTTAGCATGTGTGTCCACTCGGTCCTAAGAATAATTAAAAATTTTGATGATGTACGCCCCTGCCAGAAAAATAACTCTTCAGTGCAGGCTTCCGACAAAAAACGCCGGAAAAATATCCCAGCAGAGTCTCGATCCGACTATGAATATTGCGTGAAATTACCAAGACAGAATTGTTGACAGTGCGCAAGCGCGAGTGTATGCCGGACGAATAGCCAAACTGTTATAAAATCCGGTGCCAGAACAATATCCACGGCGTTTAAAATAAACAAGCAATATTCTCTACTAACTTCATTCATATCTAAGGTTAACTCTATTCCCTCTGTTTTTCTTGCTAATTATCAATCAATAATCATTTCCATAAACGAAATAAAAATATACGTGAGGCGGAATCGAGACCATCACATCCAGTCTATCAGTCTTTTCATGATTTTACTTGGACATAAATCAATTGTTTTCCTTCCTTTTAATTTCCATAATTTCCTTATCTCGCCCTTCACTTTCATAAATAAGTGCAATCTCAATCTATTGATTGATGCTACTGTGACCTGTGACTGATTCAATACAAATAACGATATAAATAACTAATTACTCTCCTGTAACAAAGCAATGTGACGTGTTGCTCTCGCTACATTTTCTCAAGCATTTTTTTCTCTCTGTGCAAGGATTCGTCTAAATTAACACAAAGGGATTTTACAATTTTGTTTAAACACTTATCAAGCAATGCAATCCATAACATCAGGGGAAAA